CCTACTAACAAAGATACTCCACCACCGTTTCCTTGCTGGCTGCCTTTTCGAAAATCACACAGGCTGAGTACTTAGTTTCCAGTTATAGATAACACAGTGTGGAGCTGGAGGAACACAGCATGCCTGGCAGCAGAGTAGGAGAAAGGGTCCCGACCCAAAACGTGCACTTACCTGCTCCTCTGATGCTGCCTGCTGTGGTCCTCCAGCTCCACACTGTGTCATCTCAGACTCCAGCATCAGCAGTTTCTACTATTTTTGAGCGAGTTAGTTTCCAGTTGTGATTTTTAAAAATGTGTTCATTGGACATGGGTGTGGCTGACTGGCCAGCATTTATTGTCCATCCCTAGTTGTCCTTCTTTAAAACCATGTCTCTGTAATGACTGTAAGATCATACCCATTAACCTCTATATCCACCATTAATTCATTTATTTTGTTCTGAATATTATATGAATTCAAGTAAAAAGCTATTAATTTTGCCATTTTTCCTTGTTCATAGTTGCTGTTTTTTTAAAGATTTGTACACATCCCTTTCCTGTCCCACTCTGGGTATCATTATCCAAATAGCTGTCTTGCAATACTACCATATCTTTTTGATCTGTAAGCCTACATGCAACCTCTCCACAACGCTTTCTGCATCTATCCAGGTTAAAGCCCTCTCCAAAGCTCTAGTTATTTGATTCCCAGGATACTGGGAGGATGTTTCCTCTTGCGGGAGAAACAAGGACAAGAGGACAGTTTAGAACACGGGGATAAGGAGAAGATTTTCCTGAGGTTTATCACTGTTCTTTTCCACAGCTGGGTCACTGAATTTTATTCAGGATTGAGTTAGATAGATAAGGGAGTCAAGGGTTATAGGGTGGGGGGTGGCAGGCAGGTAATAGAATCAAGGTCACAACCAGAGGAGCCGATACATGCTCCATCTCCATGACTGTCATATGGATCGCTTTAACCAGGTCAAATATTCACTTGAGATGTACACAGTGTCGTGTCTCCTCCTGTACACAGGAGTTTGGAAAGTCCATGTTCACATCTGCACGTGTACCTTTGTGTATGTACATGGTATACAGAATAAAATAAAAGCAGGACGTGTTGTGAATCAAACCACGTTACATCCCATGGGAGTCAGCCATTGGTTTCACAAGGACGAACAGTTTTCGTATGTGGTGACACAGCAGTAACAGCTGGGTCACTAAATTTTGTTCAGTCCAGGTAACGGAATTGAGATTTCAACCAGAGAAGCCAATACGTGCTCCATCTCCATGGATCATTTCAACCAGGTCAAGGAAACAAATATTAACAAAGGTTGTTCTACCTGCTGAATTGTCAATTCTGCCATTTCAAGTCTCTTCTGGAGTTCTTGAATGTTCCTCCTCACCAAGTCATTTTCTGATACCTTGGAGCTCAACTGTTCTGAGAGCTCAGAGTTCTGTTGTCTCATCTCGTCACTCATCTTACTGCAAGTTTACAAAACATTGGTTTATCCCTCAGTTCAGCTTTTTTCAGAAATACATTAATGACTTAAAACTTACATTACAAATTACTTTTTTCCTCACTCACTTTAGTTTGTCCACCTCTTGTTTGAGATTCTCTCTCTCCTTTTCAAGCTCTTTGTAAATCTGTGAACAGAAGATGCTTTCAAAATATAACAGCAACATTTTATTTCTATAACTAACTTAACTCTTGTAATATAAAGAGATTTAGTCATTTACTTTATCAGACTGTTTCTGTTGGGATGAAATGCTGGATAGAGTTTGCTCCAGTTCTGCGACTCTTTGAGTAGAAGCACTCAGCTTGCTATTGAGTTCTCCCGTTTCATCTGGAAAAAGAAGAGAGGCCAAAACAACAATAGCAGATTTTTATTCAGACACACCACAAAATTGTTACTACGCAGAAGAATGTTATTTGACTCATTGTCTTTTCAATGCCAGTGCATTCCAATCCCTAACCATTTATTGTATGAAAGTTTCTCACCTTGCTTTTGCAAAGCACTTTAAAAACAGTGAACCCAGGTCCTTACTCACTTGACTGGGAACAGTTTCTTCCTAACTACTCTCTCCAGATCCCTCACGATTTTCATTTAAAAAGTTCTGGAATTTCTCTCCTCAGCTTTTCCAACTGTCTCAACTTTTCTAAGCTTTCCTCATAACTGGTTCACTGAAACCATTCTTGTAAACGACTTTCTCCAATGCATTCACATTGTTCCTACAGTGGGGCAGCTAGGACTATACACAATTTTCCAGCTGAGGTCTAACACATGGTTTATACAAGTTCATCATAACTTCCCTGCTCTTGTACTCTGCACCTTTATTTATGAAGCTTAGAATACTGTATCCTCAATCAACATCTCTCATTATCTGCCCTGCCACTTTAATGTCTTACCTACATAAAAACCCAGGTCTCTGCTTCTTCACACTTCACAGTAGTACCTTTTAGTTTACTAAATTTCATCTGTCATCTATTTGCCCACCCCACCAATGTGTCAATGCCTTTTTGAAGTTCCATACTATCCTCCTCCCAGCCTACAAAGCTGTAGTGGTGTATCTAAGCAGAAGAGGTCTTTGAAAGCATGCAGCTGGAAGAAAGGACAAATTAATTTGTTTAACTTGCTTATACAGTACCTTTCATGTCTCATATTGCCCTCAGATGTTTAACAGTACAACAATGTATCATAATATAGCAATCAGGATTTGGCCATAAGAACTCAGCAACAGCAATAAGATGAACTGCCAATTAATCTGTACTTAGGTCCAGGTCGAATATTTAATCAGGATGCTAACAGCACCAAACCGTTCACCCCCAAATAAATAGCTGGGATATTTTACACCACCTGCCTGAACAACAGCACTTCCGTCAATGAAATATTCCGTCAGAGTTGCAATGAAGTACAATTACTGCCATGAGGCAAGTTCACAATGCACTGTGCAGTATAAGCTAATCACCAAGATAGCTCTGTTTTACTTGGTCACATTTACGGTTACAATCCACATCGGTGAACCATAAGTCAAAGTATCAACTTCACTGAATGCATCCTTTACCTTAACGAAGTTAACCACAAGATTCCACTTTTGTAGTTTTTAGAACAAATGCAAACTTAATATGAATAAACAGGCAAATGATATTTTCAATGAATTAAGTATTTGAGAGATTGATCTTACACAATCATAAGCAGTCACATCACACTCTGCAGGTAAGTGGCACCACATGCAGTTCCCAAGTTTTCTAACTCAGCTCTGGGACATTGAGTAGCAAAATGAGCTATTCTATCAATCTGTCTCTCCAGTAACATTCACTAGCAGCCTTATTTTATCAGAGGTCCACACACACCAAATATCTAAAGAGTACATTCCTGTACAGCATTCTTAGCTTCAGTTCACGACAGTCTTGGGGCAAATGTCTGAAAGACTCCTACATCCAACGCCTTCAACAAGCCTGGTTAACAACCTGGTCACCTCTAGCAAAACTGAAACAACCACCGTCGCATTATCCAACTCTCAATCTCTGATTTACCCTGTCTTCAGTTTTCTGTCCTTGGTGACTGCATTACACACAGAGCTCCTTCTAAATGCGCCTCTTCCCATGCTTTAGCTCTCTTTTCTGCCTGGCCATATGGCTTTTGGTCTCAACTTTCTTCCTGTGATACTGTTTCCAGGTCAAGGGTTGCCAGGTCAAGTGGACTGGTACTATTTATTCAAGAAAATTATGATTGATCCCTTGACAATTGATATAATTTTTTTAAAAGATTATGTCATTTTGAAAACAAAACTAGATATTTTGCAGATATTTTGAAGAAATTACAAATTTTCCTCATAATACTGCAGGAATTCTGTCTGCTGATTTAAGCAAAGCATGGTTTGACAAGCAATGTGACAATGACCAGGCCATCTGTTTTAGGTGAGACTGTTTGAGGGTTAAACATTACTTTTCAGAGATATTTACTTCATTGTGCTTTCTCAAGCAGCTCCTTCTCCTTCCAACAGTCAGTTACTAGGTTGTAACAAAAAGCAGCACAGACAGTTCGAGACCAGAAATCTCTCCAGATGCCTCAATGCCATTCAATAACAATAACAGATTTCTTGGAGGTGGATATTCGCTTTCTAGATGCACCAGAGAACAATGTCACACTTTTAGCAATGTGACAAAATACATATTAATAAATTTGCAGAATGAGAAATATGCTGCATTTTAGGAAGGATAGGGAGGCAAAAGGTTGAATATTAATAGCTGATAAAGAGATGCAGATGCATAAATCACTAAAATAGTTACACAGTTTAATGAAGCCATTAATAAAAAAGTAAAGAGGCTCATTTCCACAAGGATACAACTGAATGGTAGGAAAGTTGATAGAAAGTTGCATTGAACATTGGCCAAACTATACTTTTAAGAAGTGTGCACATCCTGGTGTCCATTTTATAATAACATAAATACATTTAAGAGGAAGCTTGATAAGCAGTGGAGGAAGGAGAAGGGGTTAGCAGGACGATGATAGGAAGAGGCTGCAAGAGGCATCAACACCAGACACTGAGCCATTTGTGTGCTACAAGTCCTGTGCAAATGTAGGAGGATGGGAGCCATACTGCATATCTGGAAGGCAACTTGTCAATAACTTGCATTAGCAACTGCAGTGGTGATGTACATCCACGTCATCCATTTGAGGAAATACAGCAGGTATGGAGCCATCATTTGTTTTGCATCTTCATGCACAGTTTCCCCAACTTCGGGAAATAGCTAGGAAGTGTTGGAAGGATTTAAAAGCTGTTTATTTACATGTCAATCAGTACCACGAGCACTCCATCCGAGGCCAAAAGGTCCTGAAACTGGATTTTACATGCGTGCTTTGCGGGGCAGAGTATAACAGGGCAGGTGCCCAACCCACCACACTTGCCACCCATTAACAAAGTAAAAGGGATCAATCAGACAACTGAATAGTGTCTTAGAAATTTACAGTACAGGAGGAATCCTTTCCACCCATCCTCTCTGTACTGGCTCCCAAAAGAGCCACCCAGCTAGCACACTTGCAGTCCCATCTCCATAGCCCTGTAACTTCATCCATTTCAAATATAAATGTAGCCCTCTTTTGACCCCTCTGGAATCCGCTTCCATCACTCTCCCAGGCAGCACTTTCCAGAGGCCTCTTCTGGGATATAGTTATAGGAAGGATATTATCAAGCTGGAGAGGATTCAGAAAAGATTTACCAGGATGTTGCCAGGTATAACACTTTTGAGTTCTCAAGAACAGCTGGACAGGCTGGGACTTTTTTCACTGGAATGTAGAAGTTTGAGGGGCAACGTGATAGAAGTTTATAAAATAATGAGGGGTATAGACAGAGTCAATTGTAGTTGTCTTTTCCCTAGGATGGGGGTTTTCAAGACTAGGGGGCACATTTTAAGGTGAGAGAAGAGACACTTAAAAAAGACATGAGGCAAACTAACGTACAAATCAGAAAAAGCAGGGGATCCAACACCGATCCCTGACACCACTTTCAACTCATCTCCAATCTATACCTATCCTCTGTTTCCAATCCTTTAGCCAACTTCTAAACCACGTTGCCAAGCACGTATCAATCCCAAACATTTCTAACTTGCTAACCAAACTGCCATGTGGCACCATATCAAATGCTTTCTCAAAGTCCAAATGTACAACTTCCACAACAATACCCTCATCTAATGCCTGTATCACCTCGTCAAAGAACTGAATTAAATTTATCAGACATAACCTGTCCTTGACAAAGCCATGTTCATTGTCTAGTTTTAATTTATTTTTCTAAGTGTATACTTACCTTATTCTGTATTACAGCCTCCTTTAGTTTTCCCACTACTGATGTCAAGCTGACAGGTCTGTAGTTTCCTGGGTTATTCTGTCTCTTTTTTAAACAAAGCAGGAAATAGGAGGAAAATGGTATCAAAATTGCATGCCACCAATATTAGCCTGCCCATGGCATAATGTGGCTGGCTTGGGCAGCAATTGCTTTTTAAAAGTTTTTAAAAAAGGGATGGCAAGAAAGGGGGTACCGATTCAGGAGATGAGTGCTCCCCAAACAATGATAGTACATCCCTTTTCTGTCTCCGTCCAGGGTTGCCAAATACTACCCCAACCCCACCTGCAGCGCTCTGGGGCTGCAATGTAGACTTTTCAAGTCCTCTTTACTTCCATTGGAGATAGGATGGCCGGGGGTGGGAAGCAGGCAGAACATAACTTCTGGATCAAAGGCTTTATGTCCTGAACCACAAGACAAAAAACGTTTCAAAGCCAATGACAGCACCAACTTAAAATCAATAGGCCAAAAAGCTCATGGAATCCTTGGTGCAATTTTGTTCAGTCCCATGCACTGCAAACTAGTCTACATTCTGTTCATAGACAACATGGATCCCAACTAATTTTTATAGATGTGTACAGGACACACCCTGGTTTCAGGCTCCCATACATGTCAGGACCTACAAAACCTGTTCTGCCAGAATTGTTCATTCTGGTACTGCCCAACACAGCTCTATAGTTCTGAGAAATCATTCTCCTTGCTAACAAAAACCCACAGCAAATGACGCAAAACATTACAACACTTGCAAATTTGGGCATTCCAGTTGCAAATAACTATGTTGAGCCTTCCACGGTACCCACATTTCAGAAGGCATGGATTTTGTGGGTGGGGAAAGCGACAAAGAGGAGGAAAGAAATTAGTTTGAACTTTGCAATTATAGTCTTTCCTTTGCTCGAAGTCTGTTTCTAACGCACTTAGCAACAGGAATCATTTCCATAACGAAAGCAACATTTGGTACCAGAGTCATGTGGATAAATTGGTAATTAACTCAAAAAAACTTTACCTGTTTTGCCCCGCAATATTTGTCTAGCATGAGCCAACGCTGACTGCAACTCCGATTTCTCAGAAACCAAAATCTCAATGGTGTCTACGTGAAGCTGCAAATCATATTAAATAATTCAGACCATTTATGATTCAAGTGAAGAACCAACATGATACAAAAAACATTGGCTGAATAACAATTATCAAGAGTAACTGTTCAACATTTTAAACTGAAATGCATGACTGATGTGCAAGTTACTCCTCACTTCTCTACAAACAATATAATTGTACTGTATGCATGACTAATAGTAACCATTTCAGAAAACAGACAAGATCAAGTCAAATAACCTGTGTGATATTGGCACAGGTTTGACAAAATTTGTTAAATAGCAAATGGAAGGGCTGTTAATGATGCAGCTAATTGTCTGTTGTCCTCCTATTCGTTAAAACATCCAACACAAGCACACTAGTCTGGTATTAAAAGTGAACTTTTGATATCCATGATCATTTGAGAAGAATTCTCTTTTAAAATCGTTAAAGTCTGGTTGAAAATTCTCTTATTTGTCGGTTGATTCAGGCAACGACTAGCTAAATTCGGAATCAGAAATCTCAGGTTTTAGTGAAAATCTGTAGCTGAATTAACTGGTCTCTACTAGGATGGCAGGAAGGCCCTACAATTGGCACAGCACTGCTTTAACTTTTGAAAGCAGGAAACTCACAAGAGAAAGGAAAAGAATTTTTCAAGGAACACAATTTCCCCTCCACAGTGGTCGAAAACGCCCTTGACCACATCTCTTGCATTTCCCTCACACCCCCTCCATGCAATAACAACAAAGACAGAATTCCCCTCGTTCTCACGTATCACCCCACCAACCTTCAGATTCAACACATCATCCTCCACCACCTGCAATGTGACCCCACTACCAAGGACATTTTTCCCTCCCCCACCCTTATCTGCCTTCCGGACGCACCGCGCTCTCCGTGACTCCCTCATTCGCTCAACACGCCCCACTATCCTCGGCACCTTTCCCTGCAACCGCAGGAAGTGCTACACCTGCCCCTACACCTTCCCCCTCACCTCCATCCCAGGCCCCAAGAAAACCTTCCACATTAAACAGATGTTCACCTGCACATCTGCTAATGTGGTATACTGTATCCGCTGGTCCCGATGTGGCCTTCTCTACATCGGGGAAACCAAGTGGAGGCATGAAGACTGCTTTGTGGAGCACCCACGCTCGGTTCGTGACAAACGACTACACCTCCCAGTGGCGAACCACTTCAACTCCCCCTCCTTGGATGACATGTCCATCCTAGGCCTCCTCCAGTGCCACAACGATGCCACCCGAAGGCTGGAGGAACAGCACCTCATATTTTGCTTGGGAACCCTGCAGCCCAACGTCTCCATGTGGATTTCACAAGCTTCAAAATCTCCCCATGCCCGACCTCATCCCAAGACCAGCCCAGCTCGTCCCCGCCTCCTTGACCTGTCCATCTTTTCTCCCACCTATCCGCTCCTCTGTCCACCTTCCATCATCGCCTCTCCCTCTCTCTATTTATTTCAGAGCCCCCTTCCCCTCCCCCATTTCTGAAGAAGGGTCCAGACCCAAAACGTCAGCTTTGCTGCTCCTCTGATGCTGCCTGGCCTGCTGTGTTCATCCAGCTCCACACCTTGTTATCTCAGACCCCATATCAGCAGTTCCTACTATCTCTCAATGTAGTTCATGGGTTTTGATTTTTTTTTTGGGGGGGGCGGCGGTAGGGAGATGAAACAAAGAGAATGAATTAGCTCGCAATGTTATAAAACACACTAAAACGAAGGCAGTTCTAGTTTCTGCAGAACATGGCCCCACATTCAGCGATAAAGTGATGATCAGAAATCTGCTTTATGTTGATTGAAAAATAAACATTGGTGAAAACACTAAGACCACTCCCCTGTTATTAAGTGGACAACGCAATGGGATCTTTTACAGACATCTTATGGGACAGATGAGGCACCAGTTTAACATCTCATGTGAAAGACAGCAATACCAGGATATTCTGATCAACGCTCTACAGCAGGAATCAAATTCACAACCTCGTTTTGGATCCTAATCCCAAGGCAAAATTGAGACGAGTACTAATGTATACCCACAGAACACTAACTTAGCAAGAAATGAGAGTGTGTCATTAAGGTCTTGACAAGAAGAGATGGGAAAGAGAGGGAAAAACAAAGGAGTACCAATTTTCCAACCAGTTCTACTTACTTTTAGCTGGTCTTTCATGGATTCACACTTTTGGTTGGACTTCTGGTCAAAAGCTTGCTTTTCCTGTGCAAAAAGAGAGATGTCTGATAATGCAGAATGAAACATTTCACAGACAGCACACATCGTGAATAAATTTTAAATGTAATAGATTTAACACCGTATTGTTTTATTTTAATATATTAGTGAAGGCAGTACAAGACTCTTACAACAGTTCAGCACAGTCATACTCAACCAAGTAATACGCAAATTAAACATAATAAATGAAGCAAACATCTAAACTATTTTCAAAAGTATAATTTACATCTTTTCCGTCTAGGAAAGGAGATAGCGCTGTAGTCCTTACAGACAATAGCACTAATCTCTCTCATTGGAGTGGGGGACTGGCGGTGGTTTTATCCGAGTGTCACCACACCTCAGGGAGGGGAGAGATTGAGAAGGTGAGACCTTTGTGGTAACTGAACCCACGCTGTTGGTATCACCCTGCATTGCAAACCAGCCTTCCAGCCAACTGAGCTAACTGCCCCCTTCACGTACATGCAAGTCAAGGCCATTGGATGGTAGTCAGGAGCTGTAAAACTGGCTCAGAGATGCTCAGGCAAAGTGAAATGCCCCAGTTTGCCCAGTAAGCTAAGGTTAACCTCTCCCATTTCCCTCCCTACCAGTCAACCCCATACTACATTACAAGTCAGCACAGTGGCTTGTCTTTCACAATTCCCCAAAACAATTTAATTATTTGTGATCTGCACTAAAATATAGAATTAATCAGTACATTGCCAACACTGCAGGGCTCTTGTGGAGGCAGATCAGGATCAAGGCCCACCTCCTCCAGAGGTGTATAGTAACATCTCTGAACAGGTTGATTAAAAATATCTTGGAAGTTCAAGATGTAATGCTGTGTGTTGTTCTAGCACACTTCAGTGAACTTGCTTAGTGGGCTTTTGAAAGGATGCTCGCTTCAAAATTATTACTTCTGTGGGAAATTAACATTGATGCCAGGATAATGTAAAAGGTCTCAACAGAATGCAAAAGGTGGCACTTTACAAATGGGACAGGGCACAGGGAGGAGGGAAATTGACCCAAACCCCACAGAAAGGAATTGGTAAGGGGCAGATAGTGAGTAATCTTACCGACTGGAGATAAGCCAACTAACAAAATTTGGCAAAACCAGAATGCACTGTGAACAGAAAAGTTGTTTTGAATGTTAGTTTTACCTTCTCTAGCTGATTTTTAAGCTCCTGAATGTGTTTTTCCTGTCAGATTAAAAAAAAAAGTAGTGAAATACTGTAAAATATCAACACTAACCTGTTGACATTTTACTCCTGCATTCCAATAAAAGTGAAAGAACGCAGTAACTACCAACACACGACATAAAAACGCATTTCTAACAATGTGTACAGAAACGAGCACTAAGTCACCGAAACATAACTGCTTGCATTAAAATTTTGAGTTGGAAAAATATTCAAGGAGATATCTACTTTTCAAGGCAAAGCAAATTTCAAAGCTGCTTTCTATGCACACTCAAACACAGGAATCCTCAACAATTTAAAAACGTACTTGAAAAATTGGTTGCCATTATTAACCTTAGCCCGTTTTAAGAGTTCGCCTTTCTATTATTCATGAATCTGTGTAAACATGACAGGCGACATTACATCTTCAAAGTTTGGGGTGCAGGGAAGTTCACAACCATATGTTTTCACAAACTGGCAAATCTCCAGTTACTGCTCTCAGTGAGAGACAGAAAATGCTCTGTTTTCAAACAACAATGGTGTTGTAAGCTTCATTCCCAAAAGAATGAGCACCATCTACCAATCCTTCAATACAACACCATTTCCTCTCCCTCAAATCAGAGCACAAAATTGACTGCATCAGGTGTAAAACTGACCAAACTTCTCACATTCAGGCTCAGACTGACATTACCAAAATTGTACTTTGCTCTCTTCATCCACATCCAGATCCAGATCACCCTCGAGGTCAAAACTAAACCCAGCTACTCTTTTAGTGATCAACCACTTCTTCCAACCTTTCTTTCTCATCCCCTCCAAATGAAACACTAAGCATCCCAAATTATCAAGATAAAGATCATCAAATGCAACTATCTTGAACAGGTTCTCTGCTTCCCTTACTGCCAGGCTTATTCCAAATCACTATCTTCCTGCAGTTTCTTCACCAATATATCCTGCTATTAATCAGACTACGCAAGACCAGAAGAAATAGGAACTGGAGTAGGCCATTCAGCCCCACAAGCCTCCTCCATTGATCCTATCGAATGGGGATCTGATATTGCATCCACTTTGCTGTTCTTTGCCCATAACCCTCGATCCCCTGACTGATCAAGAATCTACCTCATATTTAAATATACACAAGGATTCTGTCCCTACAGCTCTTTGTGGCAAGGAGTTCCAAAGACTCTCAAGCCTTAGAAGTAATTCCTCCTCATCTCAGTCTTAAATTGGCGACCCTTTATTCCAAGACCATGTCGTCTGGTCCTATACTCTTCCAAGAGGAGAGCCATCCTCTCCATTTACCCTGTCAAGCCACTTAGGAATGCTGTATGGCTCAATGAGATCACCTCTCATTCTTCTGAATTCCAATGAGTAGAGACCCAACCTGTTTAACATCTCCTCAGAAGAGAATCTTTCTATAAAAGGGATCATCCTAGTGAACCTTCTCTGAACTACCTCCAATGAAATATATGTTTCCTTAAGCAAGGGATCTGTTTTCACATCTGTATGCATTCCAGGTGAAAAAGAGACTGACAAGTGCAGCTAGTTTATAGATCACAGTAGGGAATTAGTTTAGAGTTGGAGCAATCATGCAATGTATGAGAGTCATGCACATATACAATAAAAAGATAACACATTCCATGCAGTTTTTTTGTGGTCTGAAAATTCAAAGACACCAAGAAGTTGATCAGTTAACATCACAAACCAAAAGTAGGGCTCCATTTTCTAAATGGTAGTTTAGATTCCAGACCATTGATATGAAATAAAGATCACAGGCTTCAGCAGAGATGCTAACAGGAACTAAGTGCCAACCTGGCAACGCCGTTTAACGATGCAAACCTAAGACCGAGGCTCATCATGATTTAAAACTACAAGACATACAATCTTGCTGTGTTTCCCAGTAATGTAACTGCACATTGCTAATTGTGCTTTGCAAGAAATTTTATTCACTCATCCTTTTCGGTGGTAGATGTCAGAGTTTGGAAGATGCAATTGGAGGAGCCTGAGAGAGTTACTGCTGTGCATCTTGTAGACAGTAGATATTACTGCCACTTTTCCACTTGAGCAAGAGAAATCTAGGTCAACATTAGGGTGACCGAGTGTCCTGGATATGAGTGACTCTAGTGACAACTTTTGATTTTGATGCATGCGCAACACACACTGGTGCATTAGGTTTTGCCAACTTCAGTCTCTGTAGGAACACCACCCCGTAGTCATGTCAAAGTGCCCCTTGTTTTTAACCAGGTTGGCCACCTTAACTGACTATCCAGTGCAGTGCTGAGGGAGTGTTACACTAGATGAAAGGCAGACTTTCGGATTAAACATCTGCCCTCTCAGGGAGGGGGATGTAAAAGTTCATTGGTCCAAATTCAATGAACAGCTGGAGCGTAACCCTCAATGATACTTTGACTCAATCAACATCAAAATTGATTATCACACTGCTGTTTATGGGAACTCCATGCGCGAACTGGCTGCTGTGTTTCTTGCAATGCTGTACCTACAGCGATTATTACACACATACATGGTGTAACAGTCCAGCTTTTATTTTTAAAAGTTGTTCCTAGGATGCGCATGTTGCTGGTTAGGCCAGCATTTATTGCCAATCTTAATACCCTGACGGCGGTGGTGAACTGTTAATCCAGAAATCCAGGAAATGCTCTAGGTTCAAATCCCGCTATGGCAGATAGGGGAATTTGAATTGAATATCTGGAATTCAGAGTCTAACGACGACTATGAATCAACTGTCAATCGTTCAAAATACTAAATGTTTGCTAACACCTTTGAGAGAAGGAAACTGCCGTTCTTACCTGGTCTGGCCTACATGTGACTCCAGACCCAAAACAATGTGGCTGACTCTTAAATGCCCTCTGGGCAATAAATGTTGGCCTAGCCAGTGACGCCCCCATCCCACGAAAGGATTAAAAAAATTCAGTTACAGTGCATTTCACATAGGGCTTGAGATTTTCTAAACCATATAAAGAAAGAGCAATCCTCTTGCAAATTTTTATTTTCCAAGACTTTATTAAGTCAATCTCCAGAGGGTCATTGCTTCACGTCCACACAGAGGCCCAAGAGCCTGCGATTGTGATATCAGAAAGTCAACGGGGCAAATAAAGCAGGGGTGTTTCCCAACAGGACATGCAGTAAATCAGTTAACTGCAGAACATCCACTGGTAAACTTAGAGATAGTAAGAACTGCCGATGCTGGAGTCAGAGATAACACAGTGTGGAGCTGGAGGAACACAGCAGGCCAGGCAGCATCAGAGGAGCAGGAAAGCTGATGTTTCGGGTCGGGACCCAAACTTACTCATGCTGCATTTCATCTTTGAGGATACAACCATTTGAGAGGAGATATAAGCATGTCAGACAGATACTTATGTCCCTCTTTCAATACCATTTGGAATTTGGAGCAAGCACTCATTTAAAGAAATATTCATAATACCAGCCAAGCTTTGATTTCCCACCTTGGTGTATTTAATCTGATGATAACTGATCAACATCTTTTATCAGACTGCCTAATATAAAGTGATAATATGGTACACTGCTACATCAAACTCCACATTCCCTTACCAATTCTTCTATCTTTGCACTTTGTTCTCTATTTGTCAAATTGCTGGAGTCAAGTGCTACAATCAACTCTTGGTTTCGTGCCTTTGTGCACACGCACAGAGTGAAGTAGAGGAACAAAAATGAAAGAAGATTAATTAATTTAAGGTGAAATATAGTTGATTTTTAATCAATGCATGCTTAAAAAATAAATGAAATTGCGTCTATCCTTCCATGAAATCTTTGCCTTTACAGTGCACTCCACCTTAACTTTTAAATCTCTACACTAAAATAGCTATTGACTTCATCAAAAGGATTATGCTTTTCCAAGTTTCTGTTTAATTTATAGTCTCTGCTCATTTTAATTCAAAACAGCTTTTGAACAGCTTTGGCCTGAAAAATCATCCGAATTACCCATCAGTTCAAATTAAACTGAAATTTAAGACAAGTCTGTAAAATATTCTGAAGTTTCAGAATTCGAAAGCGTTTAACCTAAACTGAGAAATTCCTATTAAGAATTGAAGACAGTGCTGAGCCTCAGGTTTCCCCATTTTAGTTAGAGTTTTGGGAAGCAGATAAATAACCTTAGGTTGAACACTACACCGGTGCGAGGCAATATCGAAACACAAGATTCTGAAGGACACTTGACAGGATAGGTGTTGGTAACAGGTTTCCACTAGTGGGGAAATCTTGAACTGGGGAAATTGTGCCCTCCTTCAACTTTCATTTAAAGCTGAGGTGCAAAGCTTTTCTTCTCCTAAAAGGGTAATAAGTGCCTGGAATTCTCTATCCTGGACTGTTTGGAGGTTAGATCACATAGTATTTAAACAGGTAGATGGATTTTTCAAATAGAGGAGTTGAGGGCTATGAGGAATTGGCACAAAAGAAACGTTGAGGCCTGGGGCAGATCAGCCATGATCTTAAAGAATGGCAGAGCAGACTCAAGGAGTGAAATGACCAACTCCAGCTGTTTCTTCTGTACTTTCATCAATAGTATGGTTATCAAACATAGTTCAGTATCTTACTGATGATGGGGAGGAAAAAAATTAAGATTTTACCTGAATTATTTGGAAAAGCATTAAATACCCAGTTTTCGTTCAGGCTTTCAGTAAGTGTTATTGGTTTAACATTCATTTTTCTCATTTTAGCAGAGTGCTATCTGAAGCTTCAGAATAAAGGTCAATGAAGTCAGTGGAAAGACACTTCAAGTAAGAGTCATGGTGTGTCAACCAGCTCCTCTTCTTTCAAATTCAGAATAAATTTTGTGGGTGGACACAACTATTTATCTTCTGGTGGCAATGTATTATACATCTGGACAGATCTGTGGGGTGGTATTAATCAACCAGTAAAGATATTCCAGTAATTCATCACCAGGGCAGTGCTTGACTTTCATTCAATTTTAAAGATTTCACAACAACAGGACATATCCTTTCAATCTTAACAGAAGAGGGCGACAAAAAAATTTCCATATGTCTGGCTTATTCCTGAACAGACACCCAACACAGCTGCAGCCTACATGTGCTGCATTTGTGAAGACAGGTGCAGAGGCCACAAATAGCCAACCATTTGGTTCTGAGATTTCAGTACTCCCAACAAATATTCACTTTTGACATGTTTGATATAGTAAGAGGCTAATGGTGAACATTATTAACACAGTTTGGCATCCAATGGCATCCTACACAAGAAATAAGTGCCTTATACTACGTTTGAAAAGACGAATATATTAAATAAAATTATTTGGCTTGTCTGAACATCCAGTAGGTTTGTCCAGTTTTGTACAAGTTTTGCCAGGATTGTATAGCAAAGCTGTAAAAACTGTGCATTGCCTTTTAAAAATAAGAAATTAAAATTCTGTCTTTTAAATTAAATCTTTATTCCAGTCTACATGAAATTCTTTGAACTCAAAAAAGTGTCACCCATTGAAATTTCTTAAGTCTCTGGTGATGTGTGACAGGTCAGACCAAATTTAAAGAGGACTGATTACAAATAGTGAAAGTATTTAAAAACTTGTGCGAGATACAATTATCAAATACCACCATTTTTGAATAGAGGTAATAGGTATTAGGATATAGTTAATAGGACATTATCCCAATTGAAGCACAAATAGGAATACAGGACTTCTCCATTTCACTTGGTGTGGGAGGAAATTTTGGAGCAGGGTTGGGAGGGGAAGGGGAGGAGCAGAGCTAAAGTTCTGAACTGCTGTAGAAATTTATAGCTTTTGACTTAGAATATAAATTAGGATTAGTACTTACGGTACACTACACATGAAGTAATTAACTTAATAACAACCTTTTAGATCTTAGATATAGCAAAAGACATTTGTGAATGACCAATATGTTTAGTGACGCATGAGGTTATCCAATAAAAACATACATGAAAGCACAGGCATCTAAACAATGTCAATAGTGGTAGAAGCCAGGAGTGCATGCTTTGATTTCAACACACAAGATACAGCTTCATTTACTTTTTATTTAGCTACAAGCCACACTCACACATAGGCCACATTAGTCATGTGTCATCACAACTAAAAGAAATTTATATAACTGATGCAGAGATGCTATAAAGTTAGAATTTATTTTCCCTCCACAGCAAATATGACCAATAAGCATTGCAGCAACCTCAAGAACAAAAATAGCGCTAACTTGTTGAATGCTGCAGTTCAGACTCAGAAATATTTTAACATCAGCACCTGAGCTCATTTCCAACAGCTCGCATGCTGTCTGAAATCAACTGGAAAAAAATGTCCCTGTCCATGTGCTTAATCATCAAGCAACTATCACAAACTGATAACGAAAGCAAAATACTGCAGAGCTGTTAATCTGACATAAAAACAAAGTGCTGAAGAAACTCAGCTGGTGTGCCAGCATGTGGAGAGAGAAATGGAATTACTGTTGAGTCTGACAGGACTCTTCTTCTGAATGGAAGTTAGTAAAGGGTTCAGCAGTGGAGTTATACTGGACTCAAAACGTTAACACTGTTCGTCTCTCCACAATGTTGCCAGGTCCGCTGGGTTTCTCCAACTCTACTTGGTTTTATAATCTCTCAGACTGACTCCCTGATAAATGGAGCCACACAAACTTAGGTCCTTGAGTTAGAGATAGTAGGAACTGCAGATGCTGGAGAATCTGAGATAACAAGGTGTAGAGATGGATGAACACAGCAGGCGAAGCAGCATCAGAGGAGCAGCAAGGCTGACATTTCAGGCCTAGACCCTTGCACAGGTCCCTCTCTCGGGGCGAACCCATTCCAGGGTACCCTGCCCTTCACAAAGAAAAGAGAACTCTCCCCAGGGCTCCCGCCGGCTTGTCTAGGCCCGAAACGTCAGCATTCCTGCTCCTCTGATGCTGTTTGGCCTGCTGTGTTCATCCAGCTCTACACCTTGTTATCTTAGGTCCTCGAGTTCATATTTTTCGGGTTCAAACTCAGTTGGTTGAGATGGTTGTTTGAGGGGGATAAGTAGCAGCTTCTCTGCCACCATTACCCAACTCTTGTGGGTGCAGTACACTGAGGCCTGTTCAAAATAAAGACTCACAAATAATGGGGGCAAACGGAACACCAGCTAGGAAATGTCAGGCTTCAGGAACAGCAGCAAAAAATTATGCCAGGATGGAGGAGCAGTATAAGAAAAATAAAACAAAAAACAAACCAGCAGAATACACATAAAATTTGTCAGGACCAAAGTGATTTATACGCATTGATGAGGCCACATTACTCAAGGCTATAAGCATCCGAGTTACAAAACCAAAGCACTGCATAGTTCTACTCCTGTCAAGAGGCCTCTATGCATCAAGATTGGTACTGTTGATGAAAGCAAATTTGTAAAACTGATCATCAGTTTTACAAGTGTCCAACCTGTAGCAAAACTAAGCCATTTTAAATCTCAATAATCACATTCTACACACGAGCAGAGTATTAAAAAAGTACTTGGATTTAGAGAAGCACTACAAACATACAAAGCTGTGAGAAAACACAGCCATGTTAAAAGTGACACTCCATACAAATAAAATGCAATAAGTGATATATTTAAAATGAACTGTACATTAACATTTATTTCCTACAGTAAAGTCATACTCTTGGCACATTCTTCACTTATCACCTTACCTCTAGTTCACTTGGACTGATGGTACAGGCTGCACTTTCACCATTCATATAAGTAGTCTAATTGAGGAAATTAGAAACAAAATTTAACAAGTCAGTTGATGTTTACAACAATCTGCGTTAATATAGCAAAATATCTCAAGGTGGTAGCCATGATGTGGAGGTGCCAATGTTGGACTGGAGTGGACACATGACACAAGGTTATAGTCCAACAGGCTGCTCCTTCGTCAGGTGACAACCTACTATTGTGTGACTTCTGATGATCTCAAAGTGATTCGCAGTTTCTTGGAACAAAATTTGACAGAGGCAAGTGCTCAAAATCTTGATCAAAGAGGTAAACTCTAAGGAACATCTTAAAAGGAGGAAAGAGGTGTTGAGGGAGAGAACTTAGATGATCAGAGTATAATTTAAATTCCTGAAATTCAGTGAAACTTTTTTGGCTTGACAGTACTCTCATTGATTGCATAGTCTTTGGTTGATTTATTTAAAACTGGAACACAAACAATCATGGAGAGGAAACAGTGGATTGCAATGTGAAAATCTAATTTAGAAGTTCAAAGTGCAGGTCGAGTAGTCACTCACTCAAAACCCACAGCTGAATTACTGTCTATTGTTTTCCATGCTAGCCTGAACACATTGAACTTTCTTTTACAAATGTTAATTGATAAAATTTTGCAGGTCCAATATTTTCTGTTATGTTTCACATGGACAGAAGCTTTGATTTTATTTTAGAAAAGAGACACGTTTTACATTGTCGGGATGTATAGGTTATTGCATCATCATTCAATACAAGACTTCCACAATGTACAAATACCCACAGAATGGCTGGGGTTAACTGACTGCTGAGGTTACGTAAATGGTATTTCTCTGCAGCAATGTATTTTCATCGTTTTACAGGCCTGGGAAAGATGATAAGAATAACGAAACATTGCCATATGTCCTAATTTCAAAACAGTGAGGTTAAGACAGAGACGTGGTCAGTAAGAAGGACAGTGCGAAGAAGCTTACAAGCAAATTCACAGACCCAACAGTAGTTTAGGTGGAAGTGGGGCATGGATACAGAGAGGTAGAGTGTTCACATCAAAATCTCAAAAACAGCATTGGAGGGGAAGATTAAAACAGAAAGGGGCAATGCATGAGCAAGTCCTTCTGCACTTTGGGGGTGGAGTCATTTTGGACAGTTGGCTGGACAGCTGGTTTGTGATCCAACAGCACGGGTTCAATTCCCACACTTGTTCAGGTTTACCACAAAAGATTTTCCTTCTTAACCTCTCCCCTGAGGCACGGTGACCCTCAGGTTCAACCACTACCAGCCGTCTAATGAGATGGCAGCCCTATGGTGACTTTACCTGACCTTTTACTTGGTCCAGGGATCCAAAGAAAAATGAAACTGGAGATCTGATCATTTTTATTCTGCCATTATTCTTGATTCCAGCCACACCACTTGGGCAAAGGGATCAAAGATCACACCAACTGAATGGAGAGCAGTTTATTCAGAAGAATCCCCTGCATACTTACTGTGGCACGTACAGTGCTCAACACATTTGCAAAGGTTAATGAAAAGAAACAAAGCCTGCTTTCACATTTTAGACATGCATTCTGACCATTTTAGCAAACAGCCTTACCTGAGTCACCAGGCCATTTAACTGAGTGGACAACTGTCGAAGACTTTCTGTGGAGGAGACACCTCTGTAGAGGAAAACAAAATAAAATCATTTTCAACGGTTTAGCAATGTTTTTTCCAAATAGTGAACTATAATGGTCCCACGGTTAATGTCTGTTAGCTGGTCTAAAATGATCATTATCTCCTCAGACACAAAGGAGGCTAGGACAAGATAAATCAGCTGGAATTCTTAATCCCAAAAGAAAAGTTACACACGTGAAGAGAACAGGAGTAGACTTGAATAGATTGTCTCTTGCTGACAAATAGCAAGCCTAGGTACAACGTACCCCTAAACAGTAGTAAGCAATGAGCGAAAGGGAGACAAGAATGTTTCTTCTGAACTACTTTTATATCAAGGTCAATTTTAAATCTTCAAAACAGCCAGGAACCCAGACAGGCAGTGAAATTAACTAGCAAATCAGTTCTGATCACACGTGGCGTACAGGCCACTCTGCTTTAATATTATATCTCTGTCACACTCCATTAATCATAAATTGTCCCCTAACCTCCTTCCAGTTTCAAATCCTCTCAGCAGTCAATACAAATTTGAAAAAGCCAAAATCCTCATTGCTGAGTCCATTACACTTCACTGAAAGACTAGTGAAAAGAACACTGCCGTTGTACAGTTGAGTACAACTGGATTGCATTGCCCAGTAACATGTATATGAAAGAGAAGAGGCGGGCAAGAGAGACACACACACACACACACACACACACACACACACAGGGGAACTCCAGGTGTTCGCCTACCTGGTTTCTTCAGGTTGATTTTCTTCTCCAGCCAGGATTATCTGGCGAGGCAAACAGTTTTAAAAATTTAGGTTGCACAAAAGAAAGTTCTCCCGCACCACTAGTTTACTTGAAATAATTTTGCCAATAGATAATCTTTCCATTTATACTGCTAGATCAGGGTAGAGGGTAGTTAACGGGCCAGGAGAAAAGGAATGCAGTAGAGAATATCATGCCATTCAGAATTACCCAAAGCTACAGTGAATGCATTAAGCACTACCAAGGTTTCAATTATCTTCTGCACTCCCAAACTAAATCTCATTTTGGAGTTAACTATAAAAAATGACATAAATAGCATTCAGCTCAGTACCATCTCTGAAGCAACAAGTAATCTGCCCAGACACATGACATGATGGCATTTGAAATGACATCATATCTAAATAGAGGATAGGATCAAAACTTAATGCTTCTACTATAAAAGCAGATTGCTCAAAAGGTTAGCCATTAGTGAACACTCTTAAAAATGCATATCGACTTTGAATTCTTAAAAATGCATGTATGTTTACAGAGTAATGGACTGAAAAGTGAAATCACCAATGTCAAGTGGAATGGTTTAAAAAAAATTTGGAAAACACACAGCAGCAAGCAAAGTGGGCATGTTGATATATTTGCAAATACTTAAAGCAGAGACCTGGGAGGAAGCTTCATTCTGTACTGTCAGATCAACGTGCTGCTTTACAGTCATAGTATTTGGCAAGTTGCTGTTGGAGATGTTGAAACGAGCAGGCGTGGCACCATCAACCCTCTGTCCTCTACCAAGATTGTCAACATCATTTTCCAGAGAAGCCTGCCAGAAAACATATTGGAAGTCTGTAATTTGCTGGACTGGAAACAGCAGGAACACCAACTTCTCGCTACACCTAGCGAAGTTATTTTATATTTCAATACACTGAATATTCTTGTAACCTAGAACTGGTTTGTCAGTTTCCCCTACAATTTGTAAAGCTACCTTAATACAGGCATTACTGCAAGCAACTGGGTGAACATCGGGGTTTTCAGTTTAACTGTGCCCCGATTGGCCCACTTCCAGGTTGTGCAAAGGGAAAGGAAAACAACATTCTGGTGGAATTTAACAAAGAGAAGGCATCCATTATGCCACATTATACACAAGCTACAGCATATGAATGTATATTTAAATGCAAGCCAAGCAGAATGATTGGGGGTCTTTCGCTTCTATAATAAATTCACGTCAGTTTTCATACTTGTAACCTGAGCAAGCAATGGGATGTTACAAATCAAAGATTGTATTAATTAAAGGAAAGCAACTGAATGCTTCCTAAGTGGTAAAGTAGACCAATACTGACTCGGAAGATGTCACTAGACCAAGCAGCAATACTTTTATGAAGTCTTCCTCCTAATACTCCTTAAAAGTCACTCTTCCCTAACAGCCCTTGAAATCACACATCTTCCTGATAAGTTGTAGAACAGCATCCAGCTAACAGGGAACATTTCTAGACTAACGTAAAAAGATTCACATCGACATGGTTGGAAAGTATTTCAGTGCGATACAAACTTAGGTTTTTTCTCTTCATTCGTAGAATGACTAGAAATCACTGGGCATCACTGACTGGACCAGCATTTATTACCCGTCCCTAGCTACCCTTGACAAGGTAAAAACCGCAAGAACTGCGGATGCTGTAAATCAGGAACAAAATTTCAGTCGCTGTAAAAGCTCAGCAGGTCTGTCAGCATCTTTGAAGGAAAAAATGGAGTTAACATTTCGGGTCCGGTGACCCTTCCTGAGAACTGATGGTGGCTGGGAAAACGTCAGTTTATATGCAGAAAAAAGGTGGGGGGGGGGTAGGGAGGGGGGGTAGGGAGTAAACGATAGGATAGACCCTAAAGAGAGAAGAGCAGCTGGACAGACAAAGGAGTTGCTAATGATCAGGCTGGGAGGGTGAATAGTTGTAACGGGGACTATCAGTGACTAACATCAGGTTGTGTGTATTGGCAGGCTATGTGGTAACTAGGGCCGGTTTGTGGGGTAGAGGGCTGGGACGTAGGAGAGTTTAGGCACTAAAAATTATTGAACTCGTTACCAAGTCCGGAGGGCTGCAGGGTCCCCAAGTGGAAAATAAGGTGTTGAGCTTCGCTGGAACACTGCAACAAGCCAGAGACAGATGTTGGCCAGGGAACAGGGTGGTGTGTTAAAGTGGCAGGCAACACATAGTTCAGGGTCCTTTTTTGCGAGCAGAACGCAGATGTTCTGCGAAGTGGACACCAGTCTGCACTTCGTTTCCACAATGTAAGAAGACCACATTATGTGCAGCGAATGCAGTAGACTAAATTCTGGAAAGTACAGGTGAAGTGTTGCTTCACCTAGAAGGTATGTTTGGGCCCTTGGATACTGGGAAGGGAGGAAGGAGGTAAATGGGCAGGTGTTGCACCTTCGCCAATTACAGGGGAAGGTGCCGTAAGGCTGTGGGGAGGTGTTGGGGGTGAAGAAAGTGTGGACCAGGGTGTCCCGGAGGGAATGGTCCCTGCGGAAGGCAGATAAAAAAGAAGGGGAGGGGAATGTGTGTCTGGTGGTGGCATCTTGCTGGAGGTGACGGAAATGGCATCCGATGACCTCAACACACACCCCCACAGCCCTACGGCACCTTCCCCTGCACATGTGGTGTGTAATGGCAGGCTGTTAGTCACAAATGGTCCCCATTAACAACTATTCACCCTCCCAGCCTGATCGTTATCAACTGTCTGTTCAACTGCTCTTCTCTCTTTAGGATCTGACTTATCGTTTACTCCCTACCCCATCCCTCTCCCTATTTTCTGCATATAAACCTGATGTTTTCCCAGCCACCAGTTCTGAGGAAGGGTCACCAGACCCGAAATGTTAACTCTGATCTGCTCTTGTAGCCACTGTATTTATAGGAGAGTGCCCAGTTGAGTGTCTGGTCAATGGTCATCGCAAGGATGTTGCTAGTGGGGAATTCAGGGATGGTAACACCATTCAATGCCATGGGCAGCAGTTAGATTATCTTTTACTGGTGATGGTCATTGCCTGGCATGTGTGGCACGAATGTTACTTGCTACTAATTAGCCCAAGCTTGGATTCTGTCTAGATCTTCTTGTATTTGAAGATGGACTGCATTAGTATCTGAGGATTTGCAAATGTGAACACCATATAATTATTCCCACTTCTGACCTTATGATGGAGGAAAGGTCATTGGCGAAGCACCTGAAGATGGTTGGCCACAGGACAATATCCCGAGGAACTTCTGCAGAGATGTCCTGCAGCAGAGATGACTGACCTCCAACAACCACAACCATCTTCCGATATGCCAGGTAGGTCTCCAACTAGGAGAGAGTTTGCCCCCCATTCCAGTTTTGCGAGGGCTCTTTGATGCTGCACTCAGTCAAATGTGGCCTTGATGTTAACGACTGTCACTCTCACCTCACCTCTGGAATTCCACTCTTTTGTTCATGTTTGAACCAAGACTGTCACGAGATCAGGAGCTGAGGGGCCCTGGCAGTACCCAAACTGGGCATCAGTAAGCATGTAATTACCAACCTGGTGCTGCTTTATAGTACTGTTGACAACAGCTGCCATCACTTTACTGATGATTGAGGGTAGACTGATGTGGTGGGAATTGGCTGGGTTAAATTTATCCTGCTGTGCGTGGAGAGAACACACACCTAGGCAATATTCCACATTGTCTGGTAGATGCCAGTGTTGTAACTGCACTGGAAGAGCTTGGCTAATTCTGGAGCCAGAATATTATCAGGACCCACAACCCTTGCACTATCCAGTGCCTCCAATCGTTTCTTGATATCATTTTGGGGAGTGAATCAAATTGTCTGATGACTGTTTTCTGTAATACCGGGGCCCACTGGAGGAGGCAGAGATGCATCATCCACTTTGCACTGCCAGCTGAAAACTGCTGTGAAAACTTCAGCCTTATATTTTGCACTGGTGTATTGGGTTCTTCCACCAGAGGTTGCGGATATTTGTAAGCCTCCTCCTCCAGAGAGTTGCGAAAAGTGGTGGACAAGTAAACAACTGGATGTGGTAGGTCTGCAGAGCTTAGATCTTCTTTTTTTCCATTGTGGGATCGCTTGGCTCTATGATCTGCTGCTTATGCTGTTTAGCACGCAAGTAGTCCCGTTTGGTTGCTTCACCAGGTTAACACCTCATTTTTAGATATGCCTGGTTCTGCTCCTGGCATGTCCTCCTGCGTTATTCATAAAACAAGGATTGATCCCCTGGCTTGATGGCAATGGTTGAGTGGGGCATATGTTGGTTCATGAGGTTGCAGATTGTGGAGTACAGTTCTGCTGCTGTTAATGACCAACAGCACAGCATGGAAGCTCAGTCTTGAATTGCTCAATCTGTTTGAAGTTGGTCCCATTTAACACAGTATCTTAAGTACGGTTGCAGGATTTTTCTGCATCACTATTGATAGTTAAGAATAAACAGCGCTGTTGGTAACATGCTTAGGACTCATCACCCATTAGCTTTACACCCACACAAATATTATAGACGCCAACATTCCAAATATTACACAACATTCAGTTTCTTGTTTGGTGTCATTTATGTTTTATTTTCTAATCACGTGCACAAGAAAACAATTCTTTATGGCAGTCAGCACCAGGATTGATCCAAACAGTTTACGAATCAAGTAAAAGTAATGGAGCTGGCTGGGTTAAGAATCATTAAGACCCGGAAGGGTGATGGAAGCAAAGTTAAAAAACAACTTGCAAAAACATGCAGGGCAATGGGGAAGAAAGGCAAACAAGAAAATTGGACTTTATTTCCCCTTCCCCAAAAAATAACCAACAGGAAGCAGTAAAATGAATGAATGACACCCTTTTACATTAAATTGCAGGCATGTACATAATAGCTTTTTTGGCCCAATCACTCTATGCCAGTTTATCCACTGCTCTCAGCCTGCGTGATGGACGTGAACTTAAATCGCAATGCAGGATCAAAGGATCAGCGGTGGGCAATTTGCAACATGTTTCAGTACCATTCACACCACAGCATCAACCACTTGGGCTCTAATAACTGCCACCTCAAGAACAGTTCAATTATCTCAATATACAATAGCTAGGTTGTGAAATTCAGAGAAGAATTACAAAGACAGTGACTAAACAAGAGCATGCCCTTAAATGAAAGAATTCGGGGCTGGGAATGTGGTATTTAAAGCGACAGCTATTTTTATACCCTGAACTGAACAGGTTTCTCTTGTGAAAGGATCTTGAGGCATTAATGCTGTTGCACTGTTAAATTTAGAACCTCTGGTGGCTGCACTAGTCACAGAAAATCAATTACAAACCAATTTTCAGCGTTTTCCTGTCACACCACACGCACGCCCCACCCCCCCCCAACAACACACACACACACACACACAGAAAGGCCACTCTGGGTTACACTGACGTCCCTAACACGCAGGTAAACAACAAACACAACCCTCTACATTCTTTCTCCCTCCCCCTCACAATGTACACAATTCTAGAACAACATAAGCAAGCTCACTTGATTCTTAGAAAGAACAATGCACTTTTCCCTTGGCCCTAACATGATTTTCTATTCCAAATATTTATCCACTTCTTTCAAAAAGTACAGATTCAGATTCCACCAATGCTGCTCGTAAGTAGTCCATAGCTCAACAACCCTATGCATGGAAAGAGATATTTTGTAATGTCAATTCATTCCGTTGTTGGCCTCAAACTTAAGCTTTGTAAATTAAGAATAGCAAAAATCTAACATCTCATCAGCTGAAGTAATTTTTACATTTAGTTAACACAATAAAATCTCAACCATAGAGTGGATCTACCAGATCTCCTTTTAATATTCTCCGCATTAATGGAAATGTAGTCTTTTATTCTCTAAACTTTCTTCAAAGCTCAGTTTAGTAATTTAGTATCATCCTTGAGATTCGGCATCACTGGTGTTTGGTTATGCTTCTCTATTAAGTTGGAATTTATTTTTCTACAAAAAGTCTGCTGTATTGTTAAAGTATGTGGGCATCACTGCAGTGCCAGCTTGTGTTCTCCATTCCTAATGCCCTCAAATGGAATGGCTTGCCTGGCCATTTCATAGGGCAGTTAAGAATCAACTATTCTGCTGTGGATCTGGAATCACAGGTAGGCTAAACCAGGTGAGGGCAGCTGATTTCCTTTCCTAAAAAAGGACTTCAGTGAACCAAACAGATTTTTACAACAGTCGATAACAGCTCCCTCACTGTTCTAGACACTAATTTTCAATTCCAGATTTAATCATTGAATTTAAATTTCCACTAGATGCTATGGTGGGATTTGAGCCCTTATTCCCAGAGGATTAGCCTGGGCCTTGGATTACTAAACCAGTGACATGACCACTAGACCACCATCTCCCCTATTTTGTTCTAATGTTTTTGGAGCTGTTAAACTCAGTGATTACAATGAAATTTGCAAACATTTAAAATACAGATAAACAGACAAGGTTACAAGTAAAGGAAAATTATTTAAGTACAGTTAACCTTTGATAATATCAAACTAGGTTCAATTATTCCAAAAAGGAGGCAGATGCGCCAAGCAATCAAAATATCTGGAGACAAAAGGATCAAATTCCTCAAACTGTGACATCTCGTCTCATTGCATTTTCAGTTCATTTGAGTTGCACAGAACTACAAGCACATTAATGATGACATTAAAATGGTTAGTTTTTTTTAAACTTTTTAAAAAAAGAACAACCCACTTCCCAAACTGATAACTATTGCTGAACAGAACTTCTACATCTCCTAATCAGGAGAACAGATGAAAAGAAATAGAAGGGATAGTCGCATTGGACAGTGCACATTGGAAGAACCAGGATGAATCCAATTTACTATGCTTCAGTCTCCAAGTGCCAGGTGATGCAGAGAAAGCAAAGGGGCTGGAGTGTACAAAGAAAGAGGAAATTCCCAACATATGCATGCAATTGCTTTTCTCAAGGAGCCAGCACAGCACGGTGGGCTAAGTGGTCTCTTTCTGTACTGAAATTCCATGATTCATCAGTACCACTACCTTGCTCGACCTTACATGACAAGCATCTACAGAAACTTTGAACAAATGCCAGTCAAACAAAATAGATGGATCGCAGACAGAGCAACACCAGCTCCTGAGCAAAGTTACAGTCACAACAACAGGATGTAAAGCCTCGCTTAAAAGTATGAACAAAAGCAAGCAGGTGGAAGCAATAGCAAAACTTGCAAGATAAGCAGACCATTCCCGTCTCCCAATTCTCCGCTCAAATAAAACCAATACATGCAATGGTGGTTAGCCAGCCGAACAAATAGGTTATATCCATAGCTACCTCACCTTCAGCCTGTCCAATGAAGGCAGTTTTACCCCATTGGATTTACTGCGGTCTGCCACCAACACCTTCAGAATGTTCTGCAGAGGCATCTGAACAGTAGCAAAGAGACAGTGATAACTCAGAGAAAGAGGATGAAATTGTAGTGTCCAGCAAACATACCCAAACCAAGATTAAACAGAAAAAGCATACTCTACAATCTTACTTTCGTATAAGGGGAGGAACCATCAGTTTTTACTGTATTAAAAGATATTAGAAGGTATTTATTTAGTTTTTGTAAATCAGATTTTATAAAAGACGAGAATGAGTTGAGGGCACTTAACTCCACACTTGCCAGCAAAACGTAGAAGTATTGTCACAGATTTTCCAAACTTTCAGTCCAAATTTACCAAACGTGCATATATTAAAAGCCAAAGAGGACCCCACTCCTTCAAATTAAAGAATTTCAACTGTCCACAATAATCATATAAATGGCATAGGCATATTGTACAGTTTTAAATACATTGAGGCACCTTTGCTCAAAATAAAAAATGTTATGACCTTTCCTTCCACTTTGGATAAACATTTGACAATCTGAATACATTTTCAATTTTGATGGCTTCATGAACTAGTACAGTTTTGTTTGGTCTCACATCAAAGCCACTTTAAAACAATCCAATTCAACTTCCAAACTCTTTATGGTTGCAATGTTTTACTTGGGCAAACATAAGCAAGAGAAAAACATTCTGAAAAAAAGTGAGATCCACTCATGTTCAATAAGTAGTACTGACAGCAATTATAATTTAAAGGACAGAGCTTCTGACAGTTTTCTAGCGAAAATAAGCTCTCACTTGGGGACAGAGTCAAATTCTTCAGCTCCCTCAATCTCGACTTTAAAAGTTTCAATTAACTGAGCAAACTTTGCCAAAAACCAATTACATATTCCTTACAAGTTTTAAGCCACTGTATCTGCTTCAGTGCTTGGCTTCACTCTACACAGAGCAAGAATCCTCAATACTTATTTATTGCCTATGTAAATTGAAAATATTTGCAAATAAGTCTGGGAGTTAATATCATTAACACTTCAGGCAAAATACAAACATAACTATAATTATACTTATTTAAATAAACACTCCCACAATAATTTCTTTTTACATTTCCAAATTGCTATTCCTTCCGACCGCATTCACTCAACAGAAGACCGAGTCTCTTTTCAAACTGATCTCAAAATCTGACTGGGGTAAGATCTTTGTTTCGGTCAACTGAATGTAACTAACATTGATTATAATTCAGCCTTAAAAGATGTCTGCAAGAGACAGAGATCTAAACAATGTATCACATTCTGGATGATGATCCTAAAGACATTATCACCCCATCAGCTGCACAACATACAATAAAAAAAGTAGTCATCAGCATGGCTGTACAGATTTCACTGGGATTACTTTTGAAGTCTGAGCCAATTATTTTTGATTTCTGAAAAATTAATTGCATCTGGAGCTTCAGAGACCCCATGCACATAGCCTCGTTTATAGGATTTCTCTCTTGACCTCTGGAAGTTAAAACTTAAAAGATCAGAATTCAAGAACGCTACAGATAAATACCCAGAGATGTTTCTTCCTGTACTTAGCATCAAGAGTTCAGAGTTTGAGCAAAGTAACTAAGCTTGAAGCACTTTACACTTTCACTCAGTAATCTTGCTTGGCCAGATGCCAACCATAGGATGGTGGTCACGTTTTATCTCGGAGGGAAGAAAAGTTAGCCAAGCCTCCCATAATAAAACACCAAAGTGGAGAAATACAGCAGGTCTGGCAGCATCTGTGGAGAGAAACAGTTAACGTTCCAAGTCCAATCAGTTCAGTCATCTTCCAAAAGGATTCCTTTCGGATCTCCTGCACCCACAGTATTTTGTTTTTGTTTTAGCTAGGCCTCCTCTGCCTTCAGATTATCCAACTGTAAACAGGTGAGGACAGAATCAGGTTTGGCGACAATCCATTTCTCTCACATACCCCTCCCACAGTCAAATAAGATTGCACGAATGACCATCAAGGTTCGTAAATTGAAATGGAAAAATTCTTTAAACAAAATACCAGAGGCCGAATTGCACTTCAGCAAAATAAGACTAAGATGTAGGAGCAGAAACAGGCTATTCAGCCCATCGAGTCTGCTCTGCTGTTCAATGAGATAGTGACTGATCCGATATTCCTCCTCAACTCCAATTTCCTGCCTTTTTTGCAACAAACTTTGACTCCCTTACAGATTAAAGATCTTTCCATCTTTAGTATACTTAACAATCCAACCTCAACAGCCTTCTGTTGTTAAAAGTATCAACACATTCAGGCTAGTGGGTAAGAAATGTGGCATAAGAAGTTAGTAACGTTTGAAAAGAGAGTGCCTCAGACCCTTAGATCTCAAATTTCTATAGAAACAGTGATTTTATTTTAAGCACCTGACTCAACTATATCCAGAATCAATGCTAATCAAAGAGGGTTTCACAGCATTAACACAAACACAAATGCAAGAGAAACAACACACACTTCCACTACAAGAATTCTGACGTCTAAAGAAGGGTCCAGACCTGAAACGTCAGCTTTCCTGCTCCTCCGATGCTGCTTGACCTGCTGTGTTCATCCAGCTCTACACCTGGTTATCTCACTTCCACTACAATCTACTTGTAACACTCTTGTACTACTGAATAGCTCTTCAGGGCAAGACAACGATGTACATATTCAACATTGGAAAATCTCATTCCATAACCAGATCTGCTTGGGCATTAAGCAGGTCAGATACCAGCTTGGTATTGCGGTTTCTACAAATTCCTGTTCATAACCTTCAAGCAATGTCACTGTGGAAAGAGAGATGGAACTTAGATCATCTATTTTCTCATTTATCAACAGAATTGCCATCCTCAATAAAATTGAGACAGCATTTAGTTTTTCAATGAACACACAGCAAACTCCAAAGTACCTCAGTGTTTTGCATTTTATGTGGTTTCCCAAAATTCTGTTGAACTCAAGTGAGTTAAAAAAATTCAACCTATTTGGATTTGAGTGGTGGAAATATGATAAAGATAGCAGATTTACACAACAATAAATCAAATGGCACCAGCAACATGACTCATTAAAACAGGTTACAGCAGCCAATACATAAATGATTCATTTTACAAATAAGAAACATTTTCCTAATGCATGCTTAATCAATCATTCATGAACTGGTCCCACAATTGATTCTACTTGTCAAAGATATTATACAACTGATTCACACAGGGAAGTGGTTCCAGATTCAAACACCATTCTGCACTGCATCAGCCAGTCCGAGCTGACTTGTGATACTGTCCCCTACATTGCTCTGCAAATTGGTTGCGGGTAGGTTAAACCTTACATGTCAATGCTGAAATCCCGTAGCCACCATTCCCCCTCCCAACTCCAACCCAAAATGTCGAGGTTTATTACAAGAACATACTTGAACAAAGGCAGGTCTGGTGCTCTTCGAAAGGAAAGGAGAAAAACTGAAAGTGGAAAAATGCAGGTGTTGCAAGAAAAAAAAAAAGGTCTTTATTAATTTTTGAAAAGGTTATGCAGCATTTTCAGAAATTTACCTTGTTTACCAAGGAAGATTTGTGCTGAACAACACGTAGGCCAAAATACCATGAAGGCAAAAAACAATTTATGAAAACAAATCACACGCTCCAAACTTATAACAAGTAACTAAACCATACTAATGAAAAAAATGTTACACCACAGAACACTTGCCACCGCTACAAGCAATTGTACAAAGTTTTTTTAGAAACAGAAACTTCTTCACAAAAGGGACGAAAAAGGAACTCAAAACAGATTTTCCAAATAATTTATATTTCATCAACTGTGATGTTTTAATTAATGTGAAAACAAGCAAAAGATTGAGATTTGCACTTTGTGTAATTAATTTGGGCTAAAACATGGAATTTCATGTCTCTGTGCACTGGAAACATTGAATAAATGCTGTACAAGTAAAACTCCATGATATTATAAATCCATAGAAATTTACCTCACAAATTTCGTCATTATTCGCTGTTAGAGTCGTTGCTGTTTCAGATCTGTCATCTGTTATCTTCTTTTTGGTCCCTGAAGAGGCAGGTGGAGCCACCTTCTTCTGCTGGTATTCCTTCAACTTTTGAAAGGAGAAACATCATGAAATTTTCAACAGGTCAATTCTAAATAGCATATATTTAAAATGCTCTAAACTCAAATAGTAAGTATTCACTTAGATTGGAAAAACTAAAATTTTGAAGGCCATCATTCCACCACAAGCTGTTTAAGAAGGTGTTCATTACGAGCAAAAGACTCAAATCTGGGTAGAACAAATATATCAATTTTTAAAGTATCATTCTAAGAGTAGTTTGAATGCATGAGCGATTCTGATATTTGTAACAGCTGTCATCTCAGGATTACAAATCACTTCCAATAGCACTTTTGCATTGCAAAATGTAACTAGCTGCTGGCAATCTTATTTGCAGATCACGTCACCCTCTAGAACAGCAGGCCACAATATCTCTCAAAGGATACAGTCAAAGTTATAATGAATAATTACAATTGAGAATTTCAATTCCGTGGCATGTGACACAAAGTACCAACACTTTACCACCTTGATACTCACTCCCACGCTACTTCTGGCAAGCTGATAACTTTTGATAAATTGAACTTCTGAATCGTAAATGGAGGCAGCATCCCCTTGTTGACCAATTATTTGATTAACTGACAAATCCAAAACATGACCAACTTCCTGCTTAAACAGACAATTCCAAAATAACTCATTGAGATCTGAAACATGGAAAGAAATAACAGTGTCCCAACACGTCTGCACCAGCTATCATGAAAACAGATTATTTCAATATCATTTTTGTCATCCAATCCATCAAGAGTTCATAACGTTCCAGTCAATACAGCTACTATTGTGGTGACCTAATGTAAAGCCAGAAGATAAAAGAAATGAATTAAAGAACAGATGTGCCAAAGTTCAAGGAATCTGAGAGATTTCTTATGCAAAAGTTGCTGAATTTCCTCCTATCAGCAACTTAAATAGATACCAACAGCACTGCTCTAATCACATGTACAAAAGCTGAAGGGAAGCAGCCCTGACTGAGATACTACTGATGACAAAAATGCAGTAACTCACAGAAAAAACCCTTTTTATATGAAATAAACATTTATACAGCACCCATCATATCCTCAAAGCCTTCAATCAACAGATAATGAGATGTCAAGTCATCATGATATCTCCATTTGTGGGAGCCTGCTGTATGTAAAACTGCCTGCCACATTTCAAACATGTTTCAGGGGCTGTAAAGCAATTTGGGACATTGAGATAATGAAATATGCTATACAAATACAAACCTTAAGGAATTTGGAGGTGGTTTTCCTTGTTATTTTATACACGAAATTTACAGCCAACAATCTGATACAATAAAGGAGATAAGAAGCAATGCATTTCCTTTTTGAGAACGTCAGTTGTTTATTTAATATTGCATACAATTATCCATACCTCGGTTGGTTGCACATGCCAGATATGCAAACAACTCATGCAATGTCCAAAATTGATCCATGTAGTTAATTGTTTGTCTTGTATGAAATATACCGTGACCGTGTAATGTTGTCATAGATTGGTAACAGCTAGTTAAGAACACAGAGTTACTCCTTGGCTTTAATTAAAACCAACAGCTTATTTGTCAAGAGCATTAGGAATATTCCTATTACCTGTCTGCATAGCAGGACTAACTTGAATGGTTATACAGTTAAAATGGGCAGACCACCTCCATCAAGAGAGCTGGACTGGACAATTTAATCATCAACAGCAGCCAGAAAGTAAGGCACATTTGCTGGCTGAGAACTATGCCACAGGAAATGAACATCATCACAGACTCCCCTTATCATGGGGGTAATCTTTGAGCCAATTTGATCCACAGAGACCCACTCCTCCCAGGAGGACGATCACTGGGATATCTGTAAACAATCGAGCAGAGATTTTTGATCAAGTTTAGAACATCATTCTTGCATCTGATCTCAAAGTGGCGACTTATGCAAAAGGAAATTCGGGGAAGTGTATGGAGTGGTCAGGAGAGTGGGACATATGAGAGACTCCTCTCAGACTGACATGACACGCAGAGATTAGGGGAAAGCATGTAGGATTTCTCCCCAACCAGTCTGGCATAGTACCTTGGGGTGATAAGGCAGGCTGGGATGCCAGTCAGGCTAGCAGTGTGCCCCAGGGTGTGGGAAAGAGAGTTGGTAAGGGGGTACAATTCCACCTCTCCTTATCCCTTTCACAGGCAGACTTGTACCCTGGGGGCCTGAGGGTGCAAGGACAGGGTAGGGATCATCCCCAGTGGCTGACATTATGCCCAGGGTGGGGGACAGGGCAGAGATTATCTCTGACAGGATTGTGCCCAGGGTCAAGGACAGAGTAGAGATTACCCTCATAGACTAACATTGTGGTCAGAACAGGATTCTTTCTCCACCCCCTACCACACCAGGGTGGAGGTAGGGTACGGGAGGGAAGTAGGATTCTCCCACATCCCTGGGCTGAAGCCATGCCCCAGAGATATGGGGACAAGGTAGTGGTGGACAGAGTAGGATTCTTTACTCCCCTCCACCTTTAACACTGTGCCTAGAGAGTTTGGGACAGGGTGGTGGTGGAGTACAAGTTAAAGGGAAGGGAGTAAATTCTCCCCCAAAACTGGCACTGCACCCCAGGGATGGGTGGACAGAGTACTAGGGGAAAGGAGAACAACAGGGTATGAGCTTGGGGGGGGCAGGGGAGGAGACAGGGCAGAAGGCAGAGGGGTGGGGGTCGGGGAGAGAGGGTGGGGGTCGGGGAGAGAGGGTGGGGGTCGGGGAGAG